CTTTCTGAGTGTATGCTTGAGATTACATACTGGATATTGCCGGGATACCTGAATTTCATATTGAGTTTCCCAGAAAAAATATCAAGCCCCTCAGATTTTGAAAAGTCGCTTTACAAAAAATCAACTTCTTTTTATTTTACCCAAATTTGAGAAAATATTTGGAAGAGTTCATTTTTTTATACAGAATTTCTGCGCAGAAAAAGAATCGGCATCGTTGATTTACCTCAGAAAAAGTATGGTATTCCTCATAAAATTGCGGATCTGCAGGTCCAAGTCTTGGTGCATTCAGATCTACCTGATTTGCAAATGATACTTCAAGATCTTCCACGAACACCTCGTGTGAGATTCTTAAAACAAAAATTTATTTCTAATAATTGCCTCAAAATTGTATCAGTGCTACACAGAAACGATGCGTATCGTAAGAGCCTGTTCACTATCGACTTAAATGTTAAGGGCTATAGGTGGTATATCGCTAAATACTTCCCTACAGCAAGACATTTTGCCGCAAGACTGGTGTGTGTTCAAACAGCCGAAGACAAGCGGAACATAGTAACAGATCGAGCAGTGCATTGCTATTCTGATGGTTGATATAAATCTTCGAAAATTTAAGCCTCAAATTTAAAAAGGCGAGATTGCATAAAAATAAATTAATATATTACTACTAAATATCCAGTATACAATATTACTCGGTATTTAAAAACATTGACTGATCTCATTACCCGGATGATCTCTACAGTGATGTAATGCAGAATACACCCGTAACTACTGCCTAAACAACTGACCTGTTTCTTGCGAGTAAGACGTCAATTTTTGGCTTCCAATCTGGCGAAACTCTGAAGTCAATAAAATCTCCTTCTCCGCGATAATCGGACCAGACGTCCATCTGAAATATAAAAATACCTCTATTCACGAGTGGAAGATATGAATGTTGAATCGGTTACTTTGATCGGCATTGTAACTTTTCTGCGATAATGAATTTAAACGAAATTGTGATCGTTTTTAACCCTTTTGATATAATGCTGTAACACAATTTTCGTAGTGTATTCCTCATATTGTAAATAATTTATACTTTATAAGTAAAGTTATTAAATTGTTTATTGGCATGTTGTCACAGGTAGGTGTAAAGAAAAATCAATAATGTCGTTTTTATTTAAGCTGATACTAACATTCACAGAATCCCCAAATCCTTTGATTATTTCATGTTGTAGTTTATTCGGAAATGCACGGTAGACCTGATGACTGTAAAATAAAAAAACAAAATCGATACAACAGCAAAGAAGAGCTACAATGCGAATGTGCAATAATATTTTTAGATTCTGATTTGAGCTTTTTTGAATTGAAATATACTGAATTCGAAAGTATTATAAGAAAGTTTTTGTTAAGATCGCTAAACAATTTTGCAATCATAGTTATATTTAGTAGGTTTTAATGAGTGTACACGCCATGTCTTTGACCTGTTCTGTGCATAATTTAAATGGAATCTTGTGCGACTTGAATATATCACCATTAAGGGAGGAGAGAGGCTTGAGTAGTTATATAAGGAATGAATAAATCATATTATTCTTATTTAATAAATTAAAATCATTTATTGGGATTGTTTTATATTTTAATTCGGACCAAGTACAATAATATTTCAGGCTTTTCTTTAGGCGGATATAGTATACATATATCAGTTTTCACTCCGGTATAGTTAAATATTGTATGTAATATGAGAACTTAAAATAGTGAGCCAAATAATGATTAGCACTGTGCAGAGCCATTTGGCAAACATAATCTTACCCAGTGTAGTCTACTTTTGCCAATGCAACGCTCACGAGAGCGCTGATCAATATTGCAATCTTCATCTTCTGGATAAAGGTTTATGATTTGAAGGAACTTTGCCGCACGCTTTTATACAACTTTTTGCGTGTTTTAAAATTGAACACGTCACCCCTGCTCTGTGGAAATATCTATTTTAAAAACAAATATGTACATACCGCTGATAAACCGTAGACAAGTCGACAATGAATTGCCAAGAACACACATTTGAACTTCCGAAACATCGTTTAATTTAATATAAGCTTATTAGAATGATGTGAAGCTACCATCCACCTCCCTCGTAGTTTTGAAAAACAGTTAGTACTGACGCGAGTTTCGTAAACATTTCCAACTAAAATAATTTCTTTTCATGTTATATTTTTGAAAGAAGTATGAGAATGAATATGCTAATAAATTTCTTTATTAATTATATCCTGTGGCTGCATTGCCTTTATTTTAAAGATTTTGTTTGAATGGGAGTCAGATCCATAAAAGCCATCAACATGTGTATAAATTGAAGTCGATTTTTTCATTTTTAATCAGCAATTCGTCACTTTTATCGCATTTTTGTTAGAGTTTTTTCATTTGTGTATTCATGCAATCCATTATATATTTCTTAATGTGTATTGTTAGAAACGGACTCATTTTTATTCAGAATTCACAACTTTTACCATAAACCGTTAATCGCTTGGCAAAACTCGCCGTAATTTCGCACTTATCCCACGTTCTAGTTCTAAGTCATGTCTATTTAAATCTTATTAATCTTCTATAGATATCAATATAAATATTTTCCTAGATCAAGTTTGCCGACCTGCTTTCGACCGACTAAAATCTTAAAAATCGCTGAATATGCAGATAACCGCACACACGCATACAAAAAAATCCACCGCTGCCAATAAGGAGGCTTTGTGGGCACATTTCTATGGAATCGCCACAAAAATTTGCATTTTCTCTATTTCATTCAATTTGGTAATTGAATTATGTAATCATACCAGTAGTAAATTTTCATTATTTATTGGAGATTTATTCGAATCATACAATTTAGATCTGAAGCTTAACTAATTTTTAGTCGTAAGTGTTAAAGGTTCCTCAGAAAACTTTGCTAATTATCTTATTATTAAAACAGCAAAAAATAAATATTTTCAAATAAATGTTACCAGACGCTTGGCATTAGAAAAAATTCCGCATTCTAATGCCACTGCTACCGTTGCGAATACCATTTATCACAATATTCTTGGAGTGAGACAATAATGCTTACTGCAGAAATAATCGTAGGATCGTTCCTCAGTCAAGACACAGAATACTCGGAAAGTTAATTTCAAAATCTTGGCAAAACTTTCATTTAGTACTTATTAATATGATTTATCGGGCTCGCCCAGACTCAAATACTGTATGTGCTGTATATCGTATTTTACGCATGTACGGTACTGTATTCATCCTGTTTTAAAAAAACACAACAGGCGCTGCATGGAACTGGTTCAAGGCTATTTTGGGGGGTATTCTCTTGAATTCACTCAACACCAGACGCAATCGACTAATCGAGATGTGGCAATCGACCGGTCAATCGCGATCGACGTGTTTGCCACCCCTTCCGTAGATCTAGGTATTATTAATTACAAACTTATTATATTATAGGCTAAAATTAGGTTTTACGTAGGCAGGAATAAATATGTAAGCAGGTGTTCGTTCTCATGTGGTTTATATGAATTACGTTTTCATACGTAATTGTGATAATGCACGGGAACAGATGGCAAATGTAAATATTTCGACACAAAAACAAATATCACGAGTTCTCGACGATGAATAAATATCCCTAACTTTTGACTAATGTGTTCACAAACATTTTCACCCATATCAGTAAACGTGGTTATGTAAACAAAAAAAGTTTCGTGACTACATGTCAAAGATTGACTTACAAAGAGAAGGTCAAACAAAGTATTGCATAGAGTTGCTTTTAATATGGAGAATATAAAATAATATAGAGAATATAAAATAAAATTGCCCAGAATATAAATTTTTGCTGGCTCTAGACGGCTCTCTCGCCAAATCCGGCCCGCCTGATGCTGTCACAACCAGACTAAAACCAAATTATGATGTTTTATCTAAAATATCTCGAGTAATTTGTTGAGATTGCGATTAAATTTAGTTTGGCACGAGGCTTTTTGTTTTCCACTTTTGCAACACAGAATATTTTTTATAAAATGTAACTTTTTACGTCTCACTTATGTGGCCCGTCAGTCCAGATTGGCAAAATGTTTGGTCGCTGGTCCAAAAACCGTGCCCACCCCTGCCCGAGAAGCACTTTTTTATCAGTATTTTCCCAGTATGTGTCCGTAGATGATTATATCCACACTGATTATTCTCGTTTAAATTTTAATTGATAAACATTTTAGCTGCTGTATCAAGTCCATCAGATTTCTTGGCATCTCGGTTTTGTCGACTGGAAATGATGTTGGCTTTTTTTCGCCATCTTTCAACTAGTGCATGGAGATTCATTGTTCAATAACTTGTTTTATTGGTCTACAATATTTTTTTATTTTTGAAGAGATGTTGTCTAATTTTATTTTTTGTTTCTTTCTTGATGATACTGTATGCGATTGATGAAAGAAGTCATTGGCATTTTTCCTGTGCATGTGTCAGATTTCTTTAGAGGCATCTGGAACATGTTAGAAGATGCTATTCTACTCTAACTTGGCTTAATCAAACATCGACGAAACGTGATCGTCTCAGTGGCCCAATAATAGAAAAATGAACTGAGATAACTCTGATTACAAATTCATTCTCAAAGACATTCCAGAAAAAATATTCTTTTGTGTAATAAAATATAGAGAAATGCTGGAATACACATACACAAAGGTCCAACAACAAATTGCAGCATCGTCTTAATGTGCGACCCAACACTCAAAATCTGTTACCCGGTCATTTAAATTAAAATCAAAATGGCAAATCAAGTCATATCGCCAAAATCCTAACGTGTTTTAAACTTACTAATTCTAATCTGTCATTTTTTCTTTAACTAATTTGCACGGTCCATTAAAGCAAAACTTTCGTCAACTGCTAACAACATCTTAAGATTTAACCACTTGCTTTGAAAGATGCCCAGATTACAAACAAATACATTTTAAACATTGTCTTTAATCGTTATAAGATCATTCTGATAAAAATTACTTCATCAGAAGGCAGGCATTCATTATTATTATTATACACCAAATTATTTCAAATTTTGTTTTATTGTAAGTCAAAATCAAGACATCAAAGAATCTTTTGAAGAGGATATAAGTAATCATTTATTTCTGCCTAATGTAATGCCATCATAAATACAGATCCAAGGTATATTATGGAGAATTTTTCGATGCTAACAGCTTAAGCAATAAATAAACAAACAATATGGTATATAGTTCTCCCCGAAGTAAGCTATTCTTGATTTTAAGCTAAAAATAATTATAAATTAATAAACATTCCAGCGAAGAGTTACAATATTGAATCAGTGATTTTTAACACGTTCCATCGGCAACCGCTTGTGCCATTACCATCAGGCCTGCAAACGCTTCTTCACCAGTCGGTACAATTTGTCTGTGAAGAAATTAAAGAATATATATTAAAATTGGGATATAAGAAGACGATAAATCTAATAAAACAATATTAAAAAGATAACACGACAACTTACGCTTCTGGAAGGGTGAATCCGTAACGTCCTTGATCTCGAAGTTCTGCTGCGAATGAGCATGTGATTCCCACGTCATAGAAGTAATCTGCACTGCTTCCAGTCGCCACATCTGTTAAAATAGAAGTTTAGAATCTTGAATACAAGGAATTTTATAAATTATACAGTGCGTAACCGTGAAAACACTTTGCAAAAACAGTGAAAAAACGTCAAAATATTATCGATCAAGGCTCTGAAATTAGAAAAATAAATAAAATTTATTCTCAGCTCAGAATTACATAAACCAATGCCGTTTGGTACTTTTGTCCAATTCACAACATGAGTAGTATCTTATTCAATAAAATACTATAAAAAGGTCAATATGAAGTTGATGAACAAAAACTCACAAATAACATCGGCGATAGATCCGGTCTCATATCTTTTGCCGTGAACAGCTCGGATGGCATCTATGCTGTCTTGTCCAACTTGTGCCTTTACAATAATGTTTAGGTTTTATTATCTAATTAAGAATTGGCGGATTGGGAAATTATTATTCAATATTTTTTGAAAAAATGGTTGATGTTGGCCAATCTAGATTGTATGATACTGAAGAGTTGCACTCACCAGATGGCCAGTTAGAGACAAGCAGTGGTGACGATCGAAATATTTGAGAGATTTAATGGCAGATCCGTTTTAAAAGACTGGTAAAGGTTCACAAGAACAATTGATTACATACCAGTGTAGCTGCGTCCTTCGCTGGAGTTTCCGACCATCCATATGGATACATCCAATATTGGCTGTAAGCATGAACATCAATGTAAGCTCTAACATTTGGAATGCCCATCACAAATTCCTTTTGGCTGTTGACCTCGACCTGTAAAAAGTTAGAGAGCGAAAAATTTTATTCTGATATAGTGAATCAATTCACTTGTGTTCAGTGTATTCTGACTTCAATAAATATTTTTCCTGTCATAAATGTTCTGTCTAAAAAAATAATACCCCACGTTGGAAATTTGTCGTATATGTTTCTGTAACATTGTTGCAATAAAATGTTTCATTCTCTTGCCAACGGATATCTACCGACATCTGTCTTAAATAAATGAAATAGATATTTTTATTGTAACTTTCACATTTATACTGGTGTAGTCGTGAAGCTGTTTTGATCAACACGCATAAGACGTTTTGCAATAGAAATCTCCAATCTATGATTTCGATGGCACCTGACTAGGTACTTCGCAAAATTGCAATTTTTATTCTAAAGCACTTACCTCGCTGAAGGGTTTTGGTCCCCGAAATGTGTCACTGCAACAATTAGTGCTCGATCCTCCAGGAGCTGATATGAAATACAATACGTAATTAATACCAATAGTTTTGTTATATTTCAATAAAGTACTTTCACATACTACACTTTATGAGCACATGGTTCAACAGCTCTCCCGACGGATGGAGTATGACAGTAAGAATAAAAATGATTTGTTATGTGGATTAACAATAATCAGTCCTGTTTGGTTTAGCATTATTCAAACCTATTTGCATTGTTGGCACCGTAATCTGTAACATGCTCAAAATTGAACAAATTTATCAATTTTAAATGAGGTTTTGAATTTACCTAGGAAATCAAATGTTTCCATATAATCCATGTTGCGCAATATGTTTACGGCAGTGTTCGTAATTAATATCGGCTATCTATCGAGTAATGTAAAATTCCGTATTTGAATAAATGATTATCACTGTGTTTTGAAAAGAAATCTATTAATCGTGTATGGCATACAGTATATACAAGTGAATACAAAGACCTACATTGTATGCCATGATATCGTAAACTGACTTGACTTGAAGAGTGTATAAAGGCCCGGCAATAATCCTGCTATGCAAACCATAACAAATTCCTGCATTTGGACGTTATATATATACAAGATAATAGTTATAAAATAATATATAATATTAAATAGTTAAAAAGTTAAATAACAAACGTGATTTATGTTTTAATGTTATGACTAACCGTCCCAGTGATTGTCCCAGTTTCTGTTAGGATCAACTCCGTTGCAATCTGTGAGGCAACCATTGTTTGCCGCCGGAGATCTTGTTTTCCTCCACATTCTATCCTGGTAAAAAATATCACATATTGAGTCGAATTCCAGGCTTAATACATTACTATAAAAGTATATTTCCCGGCATGTGGCATTCACATTCTTATTAGTGTCACGGTGGTCATGTTGTGTAGACTGTATATTTTTTATGTTTATATGCTTATTCCTTATTCAATGCTGTTTTGTTGGGTCTGAGTATTGTCGTAACATCCGAATTTGCATTAAAAGACTCCAACCACTCATTACACGTGCGAAAGTAAATATATATATCTTGCTCCTATTTTAGGGCGATGGGCTGAAGGCCGGCTGCTTTTTGGTCATGTCTGCTGCTTTTTATGTTTTGGGCGTGGAGTCGCCGTACTAATAAACAGCCAATCAGGAATCTTGAGTCTTCTGATCTAAAAACCACAGTAGCAAAAACTTATCTGCGACACTAGGAATTCACGCGGGGGCAAAAGCAATTAGATCTAGAATCTAGATTGCAAATGATATGGGCGGATAGAATTGATATAATGCTTTATATATGAATGCATGTAATATTTCGTAAATCACGGAAATTATTCAACTTACTGTAGTCCATGTATATTCATAACCATCAGGATTAGAGACAGGAATGAAATATATGTCAACTTTATTCAGCACGTCTGTGACTGCATCGTCAATGCCATACCACGATGTCAACTGTGAGGGAATCAAAAATCATGTTACCAGGGATGGATTAACCATAAAGTAAAACGAAAGCTCAGATGCTCAAATATATGAACACGAAATCCAAACGGATTGCACCTATGAAAATTTTTGTTGTTTTACGGATATTTGAACCCATACTAATTCTAACCCATGGGTTTAGCACCCGCATATAGATTGAACCCGCGAATATACACTTGGGTTCAAATGTACGTGGGTTCAAATGTACGGTCTCCGTAGGGTTACCATATTTTTTTTGGCTTCAAAGCGCGACGCCTTCGAAGACAACGACCCCGTAGCTCTTATTTTGTAACTTTACAGTTCCCAATTTATTACATAGGCCAACATTTAAAGCCATCCCGGTTGTCTTTATTGACCATATTGTCATCGAGAGTTCATTCGCATATCCTCTGTCCAAATATCGGGTTCAGTTCGAAACATAGAAGGAAATTGACGTTAACGAATTACAAATAATTCGTAGGGATAATTCAAATTTTGACAAATTAGTATTGGTTTTACATGCGATACGTTAGCTAACAATGTTACCGGGAAACAAAGCAACAAACGCATTCACTTTCAGTAAGTAAGCGAGCGTTGCGCTACACAGAAACAACAGTAACGAGAACATGTACGTGTATTAAGCTGAATGGCTGAACGCCAAAGCGGGACATTTGGCTGACTTGTCGGGACGGCGGGACAAGACGCTAAAATCGGGACTGTCCCGCCTAAAGCGGGACGTATGGTAAGCCTAGGTCACCGTCATAACTAGTTAATCAAACTTGCAAGAAACGTCCCCAATATTCCGTTGAAAACCGTATTTACGTCGCTTTTTACTAACAGTATTCCCAGTACGCCATGGCTGTGATAGAGGGGAAAAGTTTTCTCACTCTTAGCGTTGTGACGAACACGTGGTGGAAAAATGAGAGAGTGGGTACTCTTTTGAACAAGCTTTACGTCACCTTCCAAACAAAGGATAACTGAGTTTCTGAAGTGGAGCGTATTCGTTTTATCGAAGAGTATTTGATCGCTTGTTTTGCTCGAGCCGTATTTTTGTTTGTTTATTATATTCCGGAGAACGGTTGCTCGCGCGTTCAAGATACTTCGCGTTCAAATAACAACAGATTCTTTGTTTATTTCTAAGCTTTGAAATACTTATACAAATAAAATTCACCTTGTAGTAAAATAGAAAATATACGAAAAAAACATGATGCTTCACCGTGATTACGAACAATCGGATCAAGCATGTATCATAGTTGAGTGCTCAAAAGGATTTTAGTTGTACGGGAATACTTCACAACATAAACGTAAAATAACATATTATTGTCACGTTATGACCAAGTATGACAGATGTCCCAATGTATAGGCATATGTGAACAGAAGGGTTGAAACAAGAGAGCAATGCTCAAAAATATGAGCACGAAATCGAAAACCCTATATTACTGGTATTCAATCTGTCACAGTTGACTACCGTTTCCAGCCGTCACGATGTCATAAAACGTGGAAAATAGCGATCTCATCATAAAAATTTATACAGCTCATTTATATGGAATATCAGATCTCACAGAATATTTAGAAACAAATAAATGTAATATCTTTCTAGCAACAAATAGGTCCACTTAGTTTCCAATAATTTGAGTTTGTCACGTATCTCAATTATTGGTCCGGTTAAAATATATTTTCGTTAGTATTTTTGTTCTCAGGTATCACCCGAAACCTCTCTATACATGTTCGAAGATATGAAAACTACCACGACTTCCTCCATCATCCAGTCCGTGCATCTGAAACTAATAACTGTCTCACTATCTCGATACCCAATATTAACTGGTAACCAAAAGAGAGGCTATGGTACGCCATATCATCAAGCTGTCTTATCGACTTTTCTCTCGTCTTAGATACATATTGAAATACTCTCCTATTAGGAATATATGCCGCTGGGGCTACAATAAATTCAAGGATACAATTATATCAATGCAAAGTAGACACATCTATTCCATAACATAGTAGGGTAAGCATAGTACGACAGGCAAATCAAATAAATGAAATGGCGGAATTCAGCGGAACATCGTGTGATAACTTTTTTGCGTGGAATTTTATTAGAATAATAAGTATTAGCATTCGCCGTAGGTACATCGAGCACAGTAATGTTGATTTCACTCTGAAAATATTAATGGAAACTTACTTGATTTGCTACATACATGCATGTTGCCGGAGTAACCCATTCACGTGAGTGCAATCCACAATTTATGACAAATGCTGGGCGACCAGCTCCAGTGCTAACCTGAATGTAACGTTATCACTGTTACTGAAGGTGTTGGCATATGGATGTTTTCCCGGGCATCGATTTTTTTAGTTACTTCAACATTCAGTCTCGACAAAGTCGTTATAAACTGTTTTATCTGATAGTACATTCAAATGGCAGGTAGGGAAATGTTATGAATGGTAATATTGTTTGTAAAACTTGTTGACTTCGTTGTGAGCGCCAACTTCCAAAAGGACTTTTAATCCAAACTAAGCATCGCAAATTTTGCAAGTTTTAAAGTATATATATTTTTTGGTTGCAAAGGTCCATTGTTCACATGCACATTTCTCGGTGCTCCCGAAGTATGCGAACCAAGATGGCGGACATCGGAACGTAACATGGGTAACAGGTTAGGGTTAGGCGATAATTTTTTTCCAATTTTCGTCCTATTATCAGTTCGAAGACTAGCCAAGAGCCTCCCGTAGTATTTATACCTAAAATTATGGCCTAACCCTCACCTAGTACACATATTACATTCCGATGTCCGCCATCTTGGTTCGCATACTTCGGGAGCCCCCATTTCTCTTATTGAAAACTCCAAATTATCGGGAGGGTATCGAGAATACCTTTTTTTTGCAGTTACGAAATCATTTACCGATAACGTGAAAATCATAGAAACAGAGTTCAATTCGTGATGCTTCAATGAAATCTTAACGTGTTGATTGATATTGAGATATATTCATATAAATATATATATATGTTATTTATTTTTACGCAAGCAAGTTGTTTGTAGAAAAGTGTTTTCGGTATTGATATGACATGCAGTTGTAGAATAAATTTTGAATAAAAAATGAATTCCATGTATTCACATACCTTTACTGAACGTATATCTCTTCCTTCATAGCTTTTCCCAATGTTGGTGACTCCTACCAGGGCAGAGTTCATAGATACAAACTCATCAATCCAGTTGGATATCTATGAGCAATTGTGATAACATAATATGACGTGGAAATGCGAAATGTATGTATTCATTTTAAATATAAGAAAGAGTTGATGAACAACGGGTTCAACAAACGTATACAGACAATCTTGTTGAACTTCGTATTGTTTTGTGTTGTATCCCACGCACTATCGAATAATACTCTATAGTCTATACCATGGCTACTCAACTATTTTAACCGAAGATCCGTTTAGAAAACTTCAAAATTACTGGGGTCCGGACATTACAGAATATTTTTCCATTAAATAAACGAAACGTTAAATAATGGCTCGCAAATATAAACACAAATGTCGCATATTGGTACCAGTACGACAAACTGTATAGCTGTGTATTTAAATTGTATCAAAATCGCCTGAAAGTACCTAACGATGCTTATGCTGCCAAAACAAACAAGCAGACGCGGTCCAAATTAAATGGTCGAAAGGTCCGGATTCGGACCGCGGTCCGCCAGTTGAGTAGCCCTGCCTTCTCTATACTTCTGAGTAAATGCTTGAGATTACATACTGGATATTGCCGGAATACCTGAACTTCATATTGAGTTTCCCAGAAAAAAAATCAAGCCCCTCAGATTTTGAAAAGTCGCTTTACAAAAAATCAACTTCTTTTTATTTTACCCAAATTTGAGAAAATATTTGGAAGAGTTCATTTTTTTATACAGAATTTCTGCGCAGAAAAAGAATCGAGATCGTTGATTTACCTCAGAAAAAGTATGGTATTTCTCATAAAATTGCGGATCTGCAGGTCCAAGTCTTGGTGCATTCAGATCTACCCGATTTGCAAATGACTCTTCAAGATCTTCCACGAAAACCTCGTGTGGGATTCTTTAAACAAAAATTCATTTCTAATAATCGCCTCAAAATTGTATCAGTGCTACACAGAAACGATGCGTATCGTAAGAGCCTGTTCACTATCGACTTGAATGTTAAGGGCTATAGGTGGTATATCGCTAAATACTTCCCTACAACAAGACATTTTGCCGCAAGACTGGTGTGTGTTCAAACAGCCGAAGACAAGCGGAACATATTAACAGATCGAGCAGTGCATTGCTATTCTGATGGTTGATATAAATCTTCCCAAACTTAGGCCACACATTCAAAAAGGCGAGATTACATAAAAAGATAATAGTATATTACTACTAAAGATCAAGTATTCATGATTACTCGGTATTTAAAAACATTGACTGATCTCATTACCAGGATGATCTCTACAGTGATGTAATGCAGAATACACCCGTAACTACTGCCTAAACAACTGACCTGTTTCTTGCGAGTAAGACGTCAATTTTTGGCTTCCAATCTGGCGAAACTCTGAAGTCAATAAAATCTCCTTCTCCGCGATAATCGGACCAGACGTCGAACTGAAATAGAAAAATACGTCCATTTTTTAGTGGAATATATGAAACCCGATTTCGCTTATTTGGACTTGAATTGATACACGCAAACTTTCTGCTCAAATGCTTCCTTTATAAAGAAATACTGAAGAAAATGTAATCGTGATTGAAAACCCAGCCATGACCTGAATTTGCAATATATTAATTTTGACATAAGGTTATGAGACTGTAAAATAAAACCATCACAGGTTTTTTATTAACTTGTACAGGATTCACACTTACACTACAATAGGCAGGAGTTTTGAAGGGATTTGTATGTTACCATATGTAAAAAAAAAAAAAAAAACAGAAAGATCAATCGAATTATTGTTTTTTTTATTCAAACTAATACTGACATTAACAGATTCTCCAAAACTTCTGATTATTTCATGTTGAAGTCTATTTGGAAATGCACGGTAAACTTGATGACTGTAAAAAAAAACACAATTGATACATCAGCAATTATGGAGTGGTACAATGCGATTGTAAACGTTTACGATGCCAATAATATTTTTGAATCCCGATTCGAACTTTTCAAGTCAAGATGTTGAAACTATGATGTTTTAAACTATCTGAAAGCAAAGATATGTGTATGGACAATAAACAGATCGGCCTAGCAATCGGATACTCGCAGGTATTGCTATAATTGACAAAACTGAGCGGCCAATTTGGCATTCATTGATTTGAATTTGTTTCATACGCAATAAAAAATGTTTCGTATTCTAATTTATATTAATCAGTTCAGAGGAGATTTATTCTTGTCGATGGGATAACGTAAAAATAAAAATTGTACAAAGTCAGCAAAACGCTATGGTTGAATGCTCACATATTGTTAATAGAAGATATATATATATCAAATTTGTGAAGGTTTTATGAACGTTTTGATAGGGACCGCGCTAAAATTTTACAATTATAACTATATTTATTATGTTTTAATAAGTATGCAAAATACATGAACTTTGGCTGTCCTGTGTGTACTCGAAATGAAAAACTCCACTGGTTTCACATGAATATCTCTCCAATGAGGAGTGATTACGCATATCTCTATTTTTTGTCCAGAAACGGGAACTCAGATCAAAATCTAACGTAGTTTTATTAACTGACTCGAGTATATATGACTTTTTGATGAAAATGGCAGTGTACAACACTTCGGCCTCGAGTATTATGAAATAACGCAAAAGTCCTTGAATTAATTGTAAACCACTTATTGCTAACAGTCAAAATGAGGTATAAAACAATAGAATAAAATAATAATTTTTACTCCAGAAAAGTACAGAACCTTTTTGGAAACATTGACTTACCCAGTGTAATCTACTTTTGCCAATGCAACACTCACGAGAGCGCAGATCAAAATTGCAATTTTCATCTTCTTGTTTAAGTTGCTTTAACAAGTTGATGGAGGTTTATGGCATTAACGGGACTCCGTCGCCTTTTTTTATACAACTTTTTGCTTGTTTTAAAATTGAACACGTCACCCCCTACTCTGCAGATGATTCTATTTTAAACATTTATGTGTATCCATTAAATATCACACTGCTGTAGCTCAGTTCTTGTTTTGCCCGCGGAAATGCTTACGTCAGTAATGAATTATCAGAACACACTTATAAAATTCCAAAACTTCATTTAATACGGGATACAATATGATTAATCGAACAGTTAACACTGTATGTAAATATGTACGATTAAAATGGTTACTTACCATATTAAATTTGTGAAAAAATTAAATTCGGATTAATATTTTCAGCAATTTGGTTTTTATCAAATATGTCTGCAATTGCCATGTCTTTATTTTCAAAATAACTAATTAATTTTTTACCGTTTTGTATAAATTTATCGTCTTGCATCATCTGTCATCAATTCAATATGATTATATACAGTATAGGTGATTTGTCTCATTTTCGTTTTTACATTATTTGTTTTATTTTATTCAATAACTTTCAAAAAGTGATTTTCTAAAAGCATTTTCATTTATGAATGTTGTGAAATTATGAATATTGTGATTTAACATAGTTTCATTTTTCCGCGCAATTCGAAGGCTGACTTGGTGCCCAAATCATAGGTTTCGTTTAGTAGCTACAGCTTGAAAAATTGGTTGATACGATAATTAGTATCAAAATTATGGGTAGATTCTTATATCTAACTTTGAATCTTTCAATGCTTGGTAACAGTATTACCTCAATGGCTAACTGCCTGGAAAGGTATATGTGTAAATTAACTCTCAACTTGCTTAGCCGCAAATGACTTGGCAGAATTCGCTATTCACCGAATCTTCGAATGCTCCAGGTCATATCTATTTCATCATTGGTCAGTTACTATAAGATATCATAGTAATACAAAAAGGAAGAAATTATTTCTTATCATGAGATAAATTTAGGCTACACGTAAGTAGAAAGCAGGTGTTCTTTCTCTAGTCGTTTTCGCAAATTACATTTTCATAATAATTGTAATAAAGTAAGGGAACAGATGGCAGATGGTAAATAATACGATGCAAAGTTCCCGACGATGAATATCCCTAACTTTTGACTATTCTTTATTGGAACTGGACCTATAGATCGTTTTGGTGTTATATTGTTTTCATGATTCTTTTTCTTATTGTTATGGAAAAAATCCCTTTTCTATTTAATGACTGGGTCAATTGCTTTGAAATTAGCAATTTTCAATCTGAATGGTTCATAGAGCAGCTTCTGTTGTGACGTATACAACTTTTACATTCTATACGTAACGATTTATGGATTTTGTAAAATCTTTTTCTACTGGGATAGACTATACAGGTATCCAAAGAAACTCTCGTGAGCTTCACTCAACCTATAAAATGATCAAAAGCTCAGAAATGATATTTGTGCTTGTTATTTTACTAATTTGGACAGCACTATGAATTGCTTCAAATCAAAAAGTTGGCGTGATCCAATGAAAACAATAATTCACCTCAAAAGTGCTCAGCGCTCAGTTCAATATTTCTGCTGTTATTGGAAGTCTGTCAAATACCTTATTGCCAATGATTATTTACAGAACTTATAGTGAGTACCGTGAGGAATGAGAAGTTTTTTTGTTTATCGAATAATATATAAACATATGCCTAAAATTATTTGTGATTTTCAAAACTTTCGATTGAAACTCGTTTTGATCATTCGAAAGTAGTGCAAGGGATTAGGATCAGCAGCAATGTTCGTTCCTCGACAAACGATAAGCTAGCTAGCTCTCTTGTTTTCATAGTGATCGCAGTCCACCAATTAATAGCATTTTACTGTTGTATGCGATGTACTCTTTTAAACGGAATGGTCATTGCTGACCAGCCGTGGCACTTTTCACAAGTCGAACTCATTGGTCAAGGTTCTGCAACATTTTGAACAACTGAGGTCCGCTATGTCCTATTGTCTGACGTCCCTGTTTTGGGTCATATGAATGTTATGAAGTAATTCCCCAAACCCCGTTCTCTTGCAGAAATCGCAGTTCCGGTTATTCCATAAATGACCTCACGATGCTGAAGTTTTTCTGAACCTGACCTGATATGACTAAAACAACGATTGGACTGTAGCTGAGAGTAATAACTTTCTCATCACATGCATTTATGTGGCAAATCTCTGCATCCATCAGGACCGTTAAATATTGGATAAACAGATATCAAAGACGCTTTACTGCCATATTCATATAATTCTTAAATGATATCATGAAATCGATACACGGCGATATCTTTGTATACAGTATTTGATTCGCAAAAATTATTTGTTTGTACTAAATTCTGGTGATCTGAGCAACATATGCTGTAATGGCCATGCAAACAAACATAGGCTTTTTATGACGAAAATAAATGCAAATATATTTGTACAATTGACAATAGCGCGATGACCAACATCAGCTTGTTATACCAAATAGCAATGACAAATTGATAATTTTAAATAGCAAAAATTCGAATAAAGCAAACAGGTGAGCCGCAATCCGCACTTCCCTCCAATATTTGATGTTACCCTTTCTTTCGCTAACAGGCTACACACTGTACTCCCAATCCGCTATTAGACATCACCAAAACTGTTTCATTCTTGTGACTTAAAGCAGAGTCTAGAAATGTTTGGTTGCTTTACATTTTGTGGCGGGCTGCATAATACGTCATGTGTGACGTGGCCAATCAGAGCTTCTCCCAAGGAACATAATAATATTGAATGCTGAAAAACTGGCGAAGCTAACGGAGGTGGTTTTTAAAGCATGACATTGATTTCTATCAAGAAAATAGGCCCTCTTGTATTTATTGGACCAACATGCTCTCATCAGAATTATGGTGTTGTATTAAGCAAGGTTAAATTTCATTAATCTCTTATCTCTGGCGGCATTTGTTGACATCAGCTACAGAGTGGACATTACCGACCAAGCCGACATTGCCAACGTAGTGAGTGGACTTACGCGAATCAAAGACACACGCCTTACTCGATTGAGAGATTTGACCCATGAGGCATTAATTTTCAGAAAAGTTCACCTATCCCAGAGGTTCCATTACATTTGAACCCACGTATTTGCACTTGTATGCTATTGCACTTATGGAATTTTTATTTTGTTTCACGGATAGTTAAACCCATACTAACCCTAACCCATGGGTTTTAGCACCCGCATATAGATTGATCATTGAACCCGTGGATATAAGCATGGGTTCAAATGTACATGGGTTCAAATGTACGGTCACCATCCCAGAGAATTCCAGAAGAAGGGAAATACTCAAAATTTGGGTGACAACGCTGCTATGAACAATATAAATTCACTAAAACTGTCAACATTTAAATTGTTTACCATTACAAAAGTTGTAAATAATACTGCACCTGCAATAATATTGCACCTGTGTTTCACGATTTTATTTACGTCTTATTTTTTTGTTTCATGTAAGCATATTCAACTAATCATCAGTTTAATGACCTTTTCGTTACTTAGAGGCCTTTGAATCAACAAAAGATGAAGTCCATATGCAGATAGCTATTAAATTTCCTAAAAGGTTTTGAAATTTTTTCACCATCATCGACCAAAAATGTCAATTTTGTCTCTTCTTTTGATAATGAGGTTTTTAAAAGAAAGAAATTTGGAAGTTACGTTGCTTGAGAAATTTTACAATAGTGAGAATTCAACTGAAAATGATTATGTAAATATTCCCATCCGATAGTGTCATTTATTTATGAAACATTTTTTTCATTGCGCCGCCTGATATAGTTTCCAGTGTGAGAAATAGAGATATACGCAACGACACGGTGCAAATATACGATGTGCACAACTTCGGCTTGTCATTCAAAATGTAATGGGAAACACTGTTGGCGGGTAGCGTGGCGGAAACGTGCAAGATTCTTAACAACAAACTAGAAGCAAAATAGGTGCGAGCACCTTTCAAGGACAATTTGGAAAATGACGAATTATCAAATAGCTGCGCTGAAAATAAATCAAGAAGGGAACTTTATACAATCATCCTTGGTACATTCGCTCCTGATGGCCCTTCGGAGTCCTTATCGTTTCCACACTAGATGGCGTAGACTTGGAACAGTTAGGTAATTTTATTGTTTGTATTTCACCTGCTCATGTGCGGGGCTGTGATTTCAATACTGAATATCAAATTTGGGAATCGGAACTGATTTTCTTTTCTGTTGTGACACATAATTTCGAAAATACAGGCGTCATTTAGGAATCACCATCGGAACTTTCCGGTCCGACATCACTACGAGCCACCAGTCCAAATTCCGGGATCCCAAACCTATCTTTTCGCAGATGCCACTCGCAATCTATTTTTTTTCTTTCTCAAAATTATTTTGTTCATGTCACATCTGATCTCCTTCTTTTATAGCTCCTGCCGCCTTCGCAGGCAAGATTTTTCGCATATATCCACAGAATTACTTAGCCTACTGCTAACGCGGAGTTATCGATTTCTTCTCCCCCACGTTTCTCTACGTACGCAGGTCCCTTTCTCCGATTATTCATTATGTCGATTCTGCTCGTGCTCTTCCCGTCCTTGGCTGTCTGATGCCCAGTTGGCTATTTTCTCACCCCTCTTTTGACTAGCTGTTCTTCCTTCTCTTGTACGTTCTACTGCTCTCTTCAGAGCTACCCGCCAGATTCATTTAGGGCCTGTTCACTCTGATTATATCTCAACATTTGAACATATATTTGAACATATATTTGGCAAGCTCGACTGCCGTCTGGGTCGGACGTGTTTTTGTCGCTCTGTTAAATGAAAGATCAAACAATGCTGTTTGACTGAGAATGCTACGCGCTGTGTGTTTCGGCATTTACTGTTGGATTTGTATCGAGTTATATCAACATGATCAAAGCCCATTCACCGGAATTAAAGAAGTTTATCGATAAAAGTTTGTATTTAAAGGTAAATGGTGGACGATCTGTTAC